CTCTCTCTCTCTCTCTCTCTCTCTCTCTCTCTCTCTCTCTCTGTCTCTTTGTCTCTCTCCTTCCCAGCCTCCACATCAATCATTCCACTCTCCAAGGCCAGACCCTGTCACAGAGAGGGACATCCTGACAGTTGTAACACACTTTCTTCTACTGGCCCCGGGAGGCATTATGTATTGCAGGATGGACCAACATATGGAATCCAGATGCCCATTGCCCAGGTTTCTGAAAAAGTCTTAGTCAAGTCAGGCAGGGGCAAAGTAGCAGGCTTCATTCAGTCTGCCTTTCTAACCAGCGTTGTATAGATGATCAACAATAGACTCTCACACTATCTTTGCAACGCTGTCCTGAGTCTCTATTTTCCCTATGGACACACCCACACCATTCTATGCAAGGGCCCTGGGAAAGCCGAACCACATGTGGCCCTCACGTGGCCCTTACCCCACAGCAAGCACGTCTAGCACTCACGTGTCTCTCTTCACACCCCCGCCACCATTACACGGTCTCCAGGCGCAGCCAGCCAGCTGCCAAGGGCCACTGAGCTCACACCCATGGCTTACTCACCGTCCAATATCCGAGCAGATCTTGGAGTCGGCAGCTACGGCGGCATGTGTGAAGGCACCAGGACCGCAAGAGGCTTGGTGATGAGAAAGGATCACAGCCAGCACAATGATGGTCAGACCCAGACCCACACCCAGTAGGACCAGGCAGATGGTGGCCCTATGGCCCCATGCCATGGCTCAGTGGTCCAGGGAGAGAGAGGGAGGGAGGCAACTGGACACACAGGGCAGTGGACAGACAGAGAGGGACAAACTGACAAACTGAAGGGAAAAGAAACTACACAGGGTGAACTCAGGCAATTGGACAGACAGAAAAAGATCGATGGGTCCAGCAAGACACACAGACACACAGGCCAGACAACTGGATAGAAAGGAGAACAGACAGCCTTACAGATAGGTGGTCAGGCAGGTTACAGAGGAGCAAGAGGAAGCCAGCCAGCCAGATGGGCTTATGGATAGACAGACGGCAGACTGTGGCCAGGCAGCTGCTCCTCTCCTCCAGTGGCAGATCTAGCTACAGGTCTGAACTTCCAGTTTTTAGCTCCCGAGGCTTGGCCCTGGAGGCAAGCCAGGCATCTACAGGGAGTTTTTTCTTGAGAAGAGCCAGCTGCCGCTGGTTAACTCTTTCACCGCCAATTGATCCCGTGGTCTGCCCTGCTGCCCCAACAGAACTCAGAGGCTCCTTAATCCCACTGCCATTGGGAATATGATGCTTGCTGCACCCAGGGGAACTGGGGCAAGGGACTCAAGGAAACTCTCTCACCACTTTTCTGGCTCCCAGCAGCTCAGGGTCAGGGTGTCTCCTGCAGGCTGAAGTCCCCCAGCCTCCACATCCAGCTGGTTCCACCCAGGCAGCCTCTTAATCTACCCACCCACCTGGTACAGGGATGGGGCTGCAAGGTAGCCACTCAGGACCGTTTTATTACAGCCTGGCACAGCCTCACCCATACATATGAGTGTAGTGAGGGAAGAGGGTGAGCCCACAGGCCAGATTCTGCTGCCCCGGCACCCACTGCTGCTGGACCATCCCCTGGGACATGGTGACCCAGAAACTCAACCTTAGACCTCTAAAGAGTGAGGCTGTCCTGCCTGGATACCTTCCCTTTTTCTGCAGCTTGGAGCCCCACTGGCTGACTTCCTGAGTCCAAAGTGCTCAGGGCTATTCCTGTGCCTGTGCTGGTGAGCCTCCTCATCTTGGGGGCCTGGCTCGAGTCCTGTCTTTCCATGGGCTCAGGACATTCAAGTGGGAGGAATCTGGAGGACTGAGAACCCACCAATGTACTCTCTTGATCAGACTTAACAGGTGTGCAGGGCAGAAGAGCCCCGATCTGGACCCTCGGTTTCAGTGCCTTCCCAGCATCCCTCACTCTCTTTCCACTGAAAATAGCCCGCTCCCATCTTCATATGCCAGGCTTGGCACTGCCAAAGAAATGAGGCCCAGAGAGGGAATGCCCGCACTGGCCACCCAGCCTGTTAAGGGGTCACATCCAGAGTCCCTGCTCAGCCTGGGTCAGAGGGGCTGTTTCCTGTAAGCCTGTTCCCACATTTTCCTAGAGGGAGAGGGTAGTGTCTGTGGGAGTCTTCCCCATCCCCACTGTCCCCAACACTACAGTGTCCCACCGGCCACTGTCCCCTAAGGCCAAAGCAGTGGTGGGGACAAGCAAACACAAGGGTACGTTACGTTATCTTCCCCCTCCCTGTCCCTGGCTGGGATATCAGGCATAGACCAGAATTGAGAGGCATCTCTACAGATTCTCAAGACTTGGTATCATACTGGATTTGGCTGGGAAGGCCAGTTCTGGTGGCTCCAAAGGCCCCTTACCCAATGAAGTAACATGGGAAAGACAACAGAAAGGAAAGATCACTCAATTCCCTCAGTCTCCAAAGAAGATCTGGGATATACGCCATGGGTCAGCGAGAGTGGGGTACACTTCAAGCACCCTGGGTCCATAGAACTCTCCGACCAGTCCCATAAGGCATGAAACACTGACATACCATATCTCACTATATTGGCCTAGGGAAGCCTGCCTTCTCCCCAAAAATATGGATTGAGGAATGACTGGCACCCCCCCCCCTTCAGCCCAACCTCTGTCTTCCCCAAGGAATCCCAGAGATAGAGACCATTAGGGCTCAGACACGGAGTGCACCTACCGGAAAATCCTGCTTTCCCATAGGCAGGTTGGAAGTACCAGGACTTTCTAGCCTCCTGGGACCCTCCTCTGGCCACTGGGTCCCTTCCTGAAGGGACCCCAACTTGTTTTCACTTCTTGGTTGGGCTGTGACTACGCCAGTGGCCAACTTCTACATGTTGTCAAGCGTCTCCTTACCTCATGGTTATAGCTGTGAGTTCTATAGACCTTGACACAGCACGAGGGGCTACCCTTAAAAAGTTGTGTTAGCTAGTTTTATATCAACTCGACACAAACTAGGGTCATCAGAGAGGAAGCCTCAATTGAGAAAATACCTCCATAGGATCCAGCTGTGGGCAAGTCTGCAAGGACAGTTTTTAAATTAGTGATTGATGGAGGAGGGTCTAGCCTATTGTGGGTGGTGCCATCCCCTGGGCTGACGGTCCTGGGTTCTATAAGAAGGCTGAGCAAGCCATGAGGAACAAGCCAGTAAGCAGCACCCCCTCCATGGCCTCTGCATCATCTCCAGGTTCCTGCCCTGTTTGAGTTCCTGTCCTGACTTCCTTTGACGATAAACTGTGATGTGAAGTGTAAGCTGAATAAACTCTTTCCTCCTCAAGTTCCTTTGGTCATAGTGTTTCATCACAGCAACAGAAACCCTGCGTATGACACGGAGGGATGTTGTACCTAACAGTGCTCTTCTGGGCTCACCCATTTTGAGCTGTGTTCCCCTCGTGAATCTGTGGGTTTCCTATAGCTGGCGGACCTGCTAGTTGTTGTTGTTGTTGTTTGTTTGTTTGTTTGTTTGTGTTTTGTTTTTTTGAGAACTGGGCCTCTTGCAAGACAAGCTTGGATTTCACTCTGGGTTTGTGCTGGGAAAGTGACCTCAAATACAGCTCTGGCCAAGTTGCCTTGTTTCTGCCTCTTCTGTCTACTCTCCTTCAGCTTTACCGGCTAAGTGAGGGCCAATGAGAGTTCACATGAAGCCTTCCCCCCACCCCCCACTCCGAGCAGCTATGGGGTTGCTTTGTCCCAGTTAACGGCGAGGTCGGGGCGCCCTCTAGTGGCTGACATTGCAAGTGTTACTGCTTAACACAATTTAGGTGTTCTTGTTTACCCCTTCCCCCTAACTCTCAGGCACAGGGGGATCCCCCACTTAAAGGTTGATGGTAGCTTCATGACTAAGTGGTAAGTCTTAGGATCCTGCCTCGTCATTCTCCAAACCCAGATGGCTCCATTTCATACACATGACACTACAGCCCATGATACGGGAAGTCCAGCCCGCAAAGGCTTCCCGCAGCTTGGCGGTGGCCTCCGTTTATTACACTGCTCTGTCCCACCCAGGGGCAGCATGTTCTCCAGAGTCTCACTCTTGTTCCTGTTCCCACTCTCATCCCTTGGCTGCAGGTCAGTCTTGTCCCTTCCGGGCACTCAGTAGCCAGCGGGTTCCCCGCCTTTTCTGGAGTCCGAGGCAGCTGCCCAACCGCCTGATGTTCGAACGACGGCCTGAACCACCGCGATGAAAGTGGGTGTGACCTCTGTATAGTGGTGCCGAGTCTTCAGGCCTGCAGCCACCACCTGGGGGTAAGAGGGCAGGGTGAGTCTCAGCAAGGTCACAGGTGTGGCTGGAACCATTCCTGTATAGACATGGCCTTGCAAACCCAGTTAGAAGACTTCTGGTCACGTGAGCAGGAAGACTTAGAGGTGCCTGAGCGTCTAAGGTCTCCTCGGAACTCGCTGTTTGTCTGGCATTGAGCAAGGGCTCCGGATGATCTATGCGGAAGGGTCTGGGGACCGTATGCCTTGGCCAGGGGACATTTGCCACTCCTCAGCTCCCAGCCTACCTGATCAATGTCTTTCTCTACTGTTGTGGTATTGGGCAAAAGCTGGTTGTGCAGTCGGGGCTCTTCCACGGCTCTCTTCACGTCATATCCGAACCACAGGCTGTTGATGATGGCCTGGAGGGATAGGATGGGATAGGAAGATGTCAGCATAGCCCGGGAGCAAGGACAGGGAGTGATGGGGACAGGAAAGGGCAGGCAAAAGGCGCATACCAGTGCGACGGCTGTGGTGATCTGGGTACCACCCGAGGCTCCGACCACCATCCGAACCGTGCCGTCCTTATCCACGATGATCGCGGGACACATGGATGAAAGGGGCTGCTTACCTATGACCCATAGGAGGAGACAGGGATACCGATCAGCTGCCTGGCTAGGGTACCAGCCCCCTGCCAACTCACGCCCTGCATCCCAGGATTCCCAGCCTGCACCTGGCATGATGAAGTTGGCTGGTGACGGGGCTACCCCAAACTGGTTGTCAAAGTTGGGTGAGCTGAAGTCATCCATCTCATCATTAAACAGGATGCCACTGACCCGAGAAAGGACCTTGGAGCCAAAGCTGAAAATAGGACAGCTCAGATAACAATATACACAACTCAGCCGTTTCCCCTACCTGGTCCCCACCCATCGCAGGCCAAAAGCACTCACTAGGAGCCCCACCCCCTATCCAGCCCCATGCTGGGTATGCTACTAAGGCGGGGCTTCTGTTTCTCAACATGAAAGAGGGAAGCCTTTATAGAAAACGATGAGAGCCCCCAACCCACAGCTCCTGTCCCCGCACTGCCCAGCAGCTGCGCAGCCCATACTAGAGGTTGATGGTACTGGTGGCGGCCACAGCACTGCCATCCTCCGAAACCACAGACAGGTGAGCAGTGCCCCCATCATCCGGCAGGTAGAATTCAGGCTCATAGTAGGCGGCTGGATGAGTGGTTTCATCGGTGATGCGGGCTCGGAGCTGAGTAGCGTAGAACTCAGAAGTCATGTTGCGGATCACCTGCCGAGACCCCAGAGCTGGCCTGAGGAGGTTAGGAGGGAGGAGGGGGAGGGGAGGGAATACAACAGGGCTGTCCCAGCTGGTCTTAAGAAGCCCCAGCTGTGGATCTGACAACTTACCTCTATGCTAAACCAGGCCCCCCCCAGGACCAGGGATAGCACCTCCTCAATCCTGCCTGACACCATCTCTAACCTCCAGCTCGTGTCTGTCTATCCCTCAAGCCTTTAGACCCTTGTTATGTTCTTACATGATTTGTGTAATTACTTATTGAACATGTGCCACACGCTCAGAGCCGGGGAATCAGCAGGGAAGAGACATGTGTGTCTTGATCTGTGTGCCATTGGGAGAACACCAGGAGGCAGGGAGGGTACTGGAAATGAGAGGCTAGGTGACAGGAATGGAAAAGGAGAAGCAGAGTGTTCTAGTGGAGATGGTACCTAAAGAGCCCTGAATGAAACCTGTAAGTGCGAAGGCCCTGGATAATGGAGAATGAACAGGATGAAGGAAGAGGATGCTGGGTACCACGCATCCGTGATGTGAGGTCTGTAAAACTTGACTTTGG